CAAAGAAGTTCCTGGTTGACTCCACCCGGCTTCACTTAAACAGCTGCAAATTGCTTTAAAAAAATCGAAGACGCGGTCAAGGGGCGTTCGCACTTGCGTTGTTCCTTATCACATTCCATCCAATTCGTGGAGATTCGTTGTAATCGAGTCATACTGAGTCGCCACCGTTCTCACAGAGTAAGTCAAAATATCAGAAACAACTGGCAGTAGTGTATAGGCTCTTACATGTTATAAGGGTAATATATATAGGCTTTTTAATGTTATAAGAATCGCATGCATACATATATGTATCATGAAATATGTATACTGGTTGCAATGTTATCAATAAATGGATTATTCAAATTACATGATTCTGACTAACGATCTTCATTTACCTGCGTATTTTTTTTTTTACTTATGTATACAAACTTTATACAATTCTTATAAATGTTACATTAAGAATTCTTGACAAAAAACGCAATACCTGTATATTTTTTACGGACAGCCAGTTAACCTCACCGCACCCTGTTAAAATAAATTCTCGATTTAACCCTTGGCCGAAGGAATGTGACAAACCACTAGACGGCATTAAACTCAGTGCATACTCTCCTGCAGGAACCAAATGGCAATAGGTACCGCCTCCCTGGTCAAGGACTCAAGTTTCCCAAGGTGACGAACTTTCCCAAACAGTTTAGTCTTTTACTGTCCCATATATGTCCCATGGCAGACGGTCAAGATCTTGAATCAATACCTGCAACACCTTCCGCCTCACACACAAAAACATTACCTGGCAACCTTGTAGCTGAATGATCCACGAAGAAATTTGGTTTGGAAAGTCGCGACGAGATCCGAAATATTTATCTATCCATTTAGCTATCTGATTATATATATATATATATATATATATATATATATATATATATATATATATATATATATATATATAGACACACACACACACACACACACACACACACACACACACACACACACACACACACACACACACACACACACATATATATATATAAATATATAAATATATATATATATATATATATATATATAAATATATAAACAGTAAATACAAGCACGCACACACGCACACACCCCCCCCCTACACACACACAGCCATACACATACATATTCATATATATATACGCACACACACGTCTATATGTGTACATATATATATTATATATATATATAGATTTTTTTTTGTATATACATTTACATACATATATATACGTATATACATGTACAAATATATATTATCTATATACATATACAAATATATAATTTATGTATGTATATATATATAATATATATATTATATATATATATATATGTATATATATATATATATATATATATATATATATATATATATATATATATATATATGTATATGTATATATATATGTATATGTATATATATATATATATGTATATATATGTATATGTATATATATATGTATGTATGTATATATATATGTATGTATGTATATATATATATATATATATATATATATATATATATATATATATATATATACATACATATATATATATATATATATATATATATATATATATATATATACATACATATATATATATATATATATATATATATATATATATATATATATATATATATATATGTACAATTACACATATATATATTCATTTATATATGCATATATGTATATATGTATACATTTACATATATGTGTGTGTGTGTGTGTGTGTGTATTTATGCATATATGTGTATATACATATAAGAATGTATATATAAAAATATATAGATATAAATTTATATAAAGTAATATAAATATATATATATATATATATATATATATATATATATATATATATATATATATATATATATATATTCAGGTGATTAGTCATATTAGTCATAGCTTGAAAACCACAGGAGTGCAACGATATCTAAAAATGGCTCTTTCTTCTTTGAGGGAGGAACTGTTACTGGTCAAAGTTAACAGGAAATTCTGGCCAACTGGATATTTCCACAACTAGCTGCTAAGGAAATTTCTCAATAGGCACCTGCGAAATAAACGGACGAAATGGTCAGGTGTCCCAGATATGCTACAGAGCGTCCGGACCGAACTGGACGAGCGCATCGATGTTTGCCGAGCAACCTGAGCGGCGCACGTTGAGTGTCTTAAATACTACCCTGTGCCGCATGAAACTGAATGAAATCCTGGATATGAAGCCACTAACTGTTAAAGATTATTACAATAATGTTACATGTTATACCTGTTTGATATCTGGGTGAGTTTTTGTGGACATCCCATGTATATGTTTGTGTGTGGTGTAGTGTATGTATACATATGTATCAATATATCAGTATATGAATACACACACACACACACACACACACACACACACACACACACACACACACACACACACACACACACACACACACACACATATGTATGTATGTATGTAAACTGTGTGTTTACATACATACACACATACATACATACATACATATATATATATATATATATATATATATATATATATATATATATATATATATGTATGTATGTATGTATGTATGTATGTGTGTATGTATGTAAACACACAGTTAGACTCATTTTTCCGCTTAACTACCAGGCACACGACGATTCGTGATATGAACCGCCAGGAAGAGGATAGAGCCGGAAATTCATTCCAAGTAAATGATTGCCACACACATATATGTACATATCTATCGTATCTTATTGATGTTACCTGTGTGTGTGTCTCTTTTTGTGTCACCCACAGTCATATTTATTTGGAATGAATTTTCAGTTCCGTCCTCTTCCTGGCGGTACAGATCCCAATTTTCGTGTCCATAACAGGAGCAGGAGCATATTAATTAAAATTTAACAACATAATTTATCAATCTTTACAATATAAGGATATAGATTAATACGGTATTGCAGTGGGCGTGGTCAGGTAGGAATTTGCAGACCCCCTTTTTAATTATTCATTTAATATTCTCTCCAAGTGCAGGAGCTATGTCCGTGTGCAATAAGGAAATATTTTTTATTAGAATTTCCAAACACGAAGCAGATAAAATGTTAAACCAAGCTCGAGAATGTTAACCAGAATGCTATGTAATGCTATACCATTCCCCACCTCCCTGCTATGCAATGCTATACCGGTAAATGTCTCCTCACTCCCCTCCCTCCCTTTGTAATGCTATACCGGGAAATATCTACTCACCCCCCTCCCTCCCTGCTATGTAATGCTATACCGGGAAGTGCCTCCTCGCCTTCATCCCCCCACCCCCCTCCTCCACCTTCACCACCCACTCAGGCAGAAGCATAGTCAATACCATTTCTGGCGAGCGTTGCTGGCGATCTTGTGGAATGTGCGTCATCCTCGAGCCATGTCACCTATTCAGTGTTCAGCGGCCACTTTCACAATTGATAGTTTAGCTACAGTGCGTTAGATTATGATTATAGTGATGTAGATAAGCATTTGGAGTTGTATGTTACATGCATTTGCTCATTTTTTCTTCCTTTTACAGCGTATTATTATTATTATTATTTAGATAAATATAATAACGACAGGGAACAAATTTCAATCCAGGATTAAATGTTATAGTTATTGTACCGGGATCTTCACATTATTTATTCAATAATAATTTAGTTTTCAAATATCAGTTTACGTCAGGAACGTCAACCATTATAGCACTACATAACCGTGGAACTCTTTAGAAGGCTTTCACTCTTTAATGTCTAATATACTTTGAATCTCACTCTACAAATTCATATTTTGTGGGATATTCAGATACGTTTCGAACATTTCGAAGTTAGTCCCAAGATTTTTGTTAAACACTTTGTAATATTTTGTTTTTCTGATTCTTTTGAAGACTTCTATCTACTTGCGAAATACGTTGTTAATGATAGTTGATGATCAAGACAAGTTATCATACCATTTGTTGTTGACGAGAACACTAACAATCATAAAGTGATTGTTTGGATGGTTCCTCCGTAACAAAGATCAAATTTATCAATGAGAAATGCAAAACTCTGTATGCTGTATTTCCGGAGTATATTCAGTTTCTGAAATATCGTTTCCAACTTAAATATGTGGTTCATGTGACACTCGTCATAAATATAGTTGCCTGAAATTGAGCTCAAGACCGTTATATACGCTAATTCACTTCGCCAGCTCATACTATTATTATTATCATTATTAATCCTTAGTTCGTGGACTTACGTTAAGTCCGTTGGGAATTATGGATAATTTCTTACATTCTAGATCTGCTTCTGGATGGGATGGATAAAACAAAGGATCAGCTGATAATTATATTTACTTTGGAGACAAGTAATAGCATCTTATATACTGGCTTGATGTAAGGTGTGCTCACGCCACCGTAGTCACTAACTAACACGATAAGGGATCTTTCTCTAAAACGCTTTCTAAATACTTTTTTTTTTCTTTTTCATATTTTTCTTCTTTTTCAACGTTGCATTGTCTCTTTCATGATTACGTAGTGTTAGCTTTTCAAAGCTTTATTTTAAAGGTACACATACACTGTGTAGTTCGGTGAGGGTGCTGTACACTAGTTCATGTGATCTACGACACGGATATGACAATTTTTTTTCATCCATTGTCTGTTTTTTTCTGTCATTACGTGTCATGCATTTACACATATATATTTCTTTACTTGCGATTCTATGTGCAATAATACTGAACCAAGTTGAGCACCTCACGCGTATTTCAGCTGTTCCAGACACACAATCTTTATTTATTTTTTCTTCTAAATTACGGTTAACATATATTTTACTAAATTTCTATATAGTACCAGGCGTTCTTTACATCCTCCGACCAAAAAAGAACTTCTGTATTTACCCATATTTATTTGATTATCGGTAAACAAATTGATTGATTATCTGACAGCAGTGACTCATTGAACATATGGAAGGCACCACAGAAGCTCGTCCCTTCCTGCTTTTTACCCGCTGTGGATAGGTAAGGTGATTTATTTTTGTCATTTTGGAAGTAAAGGCACTTAAGAACTCTTGCACTGTGTGTGTGTGTGTGTGTGTGTGTGTGTGTGTGTGTGTGTGTGTGTGTGTGTGTGTGTGTGTGTGTGTGTGTGTGTGTGTGTGTGTGTGTTTTGGTATTGTACTTTCAGTTTGTTAAGATACCAGTTATAGATTTTCTTATTAATGGCACCATTTTATCTGTATCATCTTTAAAGAGTTCTGTGTCCAATACAATAAAAATGTCCGTCGATTATAGGGTTTGACCTGCGACAGGGAGCCCTTATTTTGATACACTTAACAGTTCCATTTTAGGCAAGGAGTGGCCAATAAAATCTTGAAAGGTCATTTAAATTTTCTTCCTTTTTGTCTGGAATCACGTACATAAATTTCCCTGCTCGGTTCAGGTAAACTTGCAATGTTTCTTGTGCTTCGTAATAAAGCTTGCACGGCAGCACTACATGTCTATCCATTAATTCAATAACTTTGCTAATAACCTCCCGGTCCTCTTCGCTATTGCCGTCCATGAAGCGCTGGCTGTTGCGTATGTGGGTGTAAGCCTCTACCGTCCGCAGAATCTCCTTGCCGATCTTCTTGTTCCTCCTGACGACGTCCTTGTCCCCCTGCTTCGGCTTCTCCACGCGGCATCGCCTGCACTCGCCCGTCTTGCAGCTGACCGCCTCCGCGCACTCCACGCACTTCATGGAAACCTCTGCAGGGAAATGGCTCTTTTCGGGCCAGTCGCTCTCGCACGCCTCGCACTTGCACAGGAAGTAGTAGTGGATGAGCAGGTGGTGCCGGCGTGCGGAGGTGTCCTTCTCGAAGTACCGAAAGCCGTAGAAAGTCGTCACTTCCTCGCCCGCGGGGATGAATCTCACGGCATACAGTGAAGACGGGTCACTGCCGTAGCTTGGCACTGCGCTTGGGTTACACGAGTGGTTCAGCAAACTCATGGTAGCGAGAACTTTCGTCCCGACGTTCGCCCCGACTACGTCTCCGGTGAAATTATAGGATACCTGGAAGACAAAAAAATAATTAAGTATTGTGAAAGTCTTTTACGAAAGGCTAGATGAAATTTCGCAACGTTTGCATGAAAGTCCCCATCGCATTACTTATTAAACCTAATAAATAAAACATCACAATACTCCACGAGCCAAATCCTTCCAATCGAATCCGCGTAGGAGTAGCTGGAGTTGGGCAAGCACGCACCCACTCTCTATCTTACCTGTAAATCTTTAATAGTGAATATATTGCACCGGAGTTTCATGATGAGAGAGACCAAGGTGCTCCCCGTCAGCAGGACGTCTTCCTCGCTGGGACACACTGGCTCGCCGCGGCTGTTCACGAAGTACTTCCTGCTCATCTCCAGGAGCTTGGTTACGATGAATGCCTCAATGCACCTGCCGAAAAGCTGTTTATTGGTATGGTGTTGTTTGTTTGAGCATAGGTGATAGATCGCACGGAAGTCGTAAGAACTATATATGCCGTCTTCATTAAAACCGAGTTTCTCCGGAGGCAGTGTCTCTGCTTCTTTCTTAAGCCTGGGGATCAGCTCCTTAAGGCGTGCGAAGGAGAGCTTCATAAGGATTCGGAAGGCTAACACACATGGAGTATCGCCGCTGAAAGCCGCCAGAGCGGGCAGAACCTCACACTCCTGCTCATGGAAATCGGCGAGGCCTCGCGTTCTGCACTCCTCGCTGCAGAACACAACCTGGAGGGCGGGGAAGGGGCAGGAGACCCGAGTCAGCATAAAGCGCGTCCTGTTGCGAGGACGGCAGACATTTCTTAAAACTCGAACTATTGATAAAGTGAAAAAGTAAAATTATCTCTATATAGATGTAAATTAGTGTTTTAGTGTTTACTTTATCCAGAACGTATCACTGTTCATAATATGCATAATAAAGAACGCTATGAATTGATAATCCTTTTCTATGCATTCAAATATAAATATAGACACTATTTTTTTACCGTTATTACCTAGATTCAAAGTCTCTTATCCATCTACATTTCAAATGCAAAATAAACATTAAGAAACACATGAAACAAATGCGAATCACACAACCGTGTCATAACCAGCGTTGTTAATTTGAAAAACTCATGTTCAGGTACCAACCGATCAGCCACGTCACATATCCACTTACACAGTATCGGAACATGTGAGCTGCTGAAGGAGTCTATAACATGCACGTACGTATTTTGCGCACATCAGCTTGAATAGGGAGTGAATCCGTGAACGCAGATGACCCATAGATTCGAATACATTTTAGGATATTGGCTTAGGGTAAATGAGAAGATACAAATGAACTACAAATTGGAATTCATTTTGAAGAAGTTGGTTTTAAGTTGAATGCTAAGATGCAGATGAACTTCTTATTCGAATACATGAGAAGATATACATTCGAATACATACATTTAAGAAGCCGGTTTAAGGTTGAAGATAAAAGTGAACCACAGATTTGAATAAATTTTAAGAAGGTCATTTTAAGGTGAATGAGGAGACACAAATGAGCCATAGTCTCGAATACATAATTTTAAAAAGCTGATTTTAGAGTGAATCAATAAGATAGAAATGAACCACAGATTTGAATATATTTTGGGATGTTCATTAAAGGATAATTGAGATAGCACAAGTAAAAGCCATAGATTTGAATATATCAATTTAAGAAGGTTTATGGCGAGCGCGAATAAGAACACAAATGATAACAGATTCGAATACATTTTAAAAAGTTCTTTTTAGATTGAATGGGACGACGCAAGTGAACCATAGATTAGAATGCATGATTTTAAGAAGTTAGTCTTTCTTAATAAATGAATGGTCACTTTCTTCGCATATTAACAATATA